AAAATATATTGGAAAAATAGAATTACCATGGTCCAGCTATCTCATTTCACAATAGCCAAGACATGAATACAACCTAAGTGTCCATCTACGGATGAATGGATAAATAAAATGTGATATATACACACAAAAGAATATTATTCAACCACAAAAAAGAAAAAAATCCTGTCATTTGCAACAATGTGAATGGACCTTGAGGACTTTATGCTAAGTGAAGTCAAACAGAGAAAGGTAAATAAGGGATGATTGCACTTATATGTGAAATCAAAACCTCATTGATACAGAAAACAGATTGGTGGGTTGGGGGTGGGGGTGGGGGTTGGAGAAATGAGTGAAGGTGGTCAAAAGGTACAAACTTCCAGATATAAAATAAATAAATACTAGAGATGTAATTTTCAGCATGGTGACTATAGTTTATCCTGTATTTGAAAGTGGCTAAGAAAGTAAATATTAAAAGTGCTCATCACAAAAAATAAAATTTGTAACCATGTGGTTGGTGATGGATCATTTTGCAAAATATATATATATCAAATCATTGTGTTGTACACCTGAAACTAATAATGTTATATGTCTTTTATATCTCAAGTACAAGAAAGAAAGAAAGAAAGAAAGAAAGAAAGAAAGAAAGACGAAGAAAGTCCTGATGCCCAGGATGCCACCCTGAGGTCATTTCAATTAGTATGGGATGGCCTCCTAACACCACCAAAATAGCTAATAAAAGCTCTCCAGGTGATTCACATGTGTAGTCAGAGTTAAAAGCCACTGGTGTCAGAACCATTTTCTGGACTCACAGGCTAAATCAAATTCTAAAACCTCATGAAACTTACACACTTTTTTTTTATAATTAAATCTTTATTGTTCAGATTATTACATTTGTTCCTCTTTTTTTCCCCCATAACTCCCCTCCTCCCAGTTCCCGCCCCACCCTACGCCCTCACTCCCCACCCACTGTCCTCATCCATAGGTGCACGATTTTTGTCCAGTCTCTTTCCGCATCTCCCACACCCCTTTCCCCCCCAAGAATAGTCAGTCCATTCCCTTTCTATGTCCCTGATTCTATTATGATCACCAGATTATTTATTTACTTGATTCTTAGATTCACTTGTTGATAGATGCATATTTGTTGTTCATAATTTGTATCTTTACCTTTTTCTTCTTCTTCCTCTTCTTAAAGGATACCTTTCAGCATTTCATATAATACTGGTTTGGTGGTGATGAACTCCTTTAGCTTTTCCTTATCTGTGAAGCTCTTTATCTGACCTTCCGTTCTGAATGATAGCTTTGCTGGATAAAGTAATCTTGGTTGTAGGTTCTTGCTATTCATCACTTTGAATATTTCTTGCCATTCCCTTCTGGCCTGCAAAGTATGAAACTTACACACTTTTAAGCAATCATTTTTCAAATATTTCAGGGTTCCAGGCATATCCTATATACTAAAGAGATAATATGCAAATGGTTGTCAGGCCCTCGCACCTTTGCACCGGGGCCAGGGGACCTGAGACCAGGCCGGGGGACTTGAAGCTGCGCCCCTCACCCTGGGGCCGGGGCCAGGGAACCTGAGGCCGCGCCCCCTGCCCTGGCACAGGGCCGGAGGAACTGAGGCTGCACTGGGGGACCTGAGGTCGCGCCCTCCGCCTGGTGGGGCTTGACGGGGGACCTGAGGCTGCGCCCTCCACCTGGCGGGGCTTGATGGGGGACCTGAGGCTATGCCCCCCACCTGGTAGGGCTTGACGGGGATGGGGACAGCTGGGTCTAGGACTTGCATGATTTCAAGGAGCGTGCAGGTGGGCATGGACTTGACTCTGGGTCCTGCGGCGTGTCCCAGACTCTGACAGGAGGGAGATTTTCATACACATTTTACTAATTCTTTCATCTCTGACACTTCTATTATAGAGAAAGGGCAAATAGCAATATTAAAATATTTCCTCTAATTAATTCCCTTTTAATGTGCATGAATTTTGTGCACCGGGCCACTAGTAAAAGAATAAAATACTCATTTAGATTGAACAAGTTTAAGAGAAAAACAAATTAAGAGAACAACGTCACAATAGCAACATACAGAATAAAATACTTAGAAATAAAGTTAAAGGGAATGCGAAACTTTTATTATGATAACTAGAAAACATTATTCAAAGAAATTAAAGACCTAAGTAAATAAAAAAGATATATTATGTTCATGGAATAGGATATAAACTGTTGATATGATAATACTCCTCATACTGGTCTACAGACTCAACACAGTCTCTGTCAAAATCCCAACTGGCAAATCAATCCTTAAATTTATATAGAAATGTAAGGGATGCAGAATAGTCAAAACAATTTTGAAGAAGACAAAGTTGTAAGACTCAAATTTCCCTGTTTTAACTTACTACAAAACTGCAGTAATGAAAACAGTGTGATTCTTGCATAAGGATGGATAGATAGATCAATGGAATATAATTGAGAATCTATATATATAAAACCCTAATATGCAAATAGACTGAATGGTGGAACAACTGAACAACCAGTGATGTGCACCCGTGGAATGTGACGGGTGTCAGCAGCAGGCAGCAGAGCGTGGAACAGAGTGGGTGGCAGGATGGTGGAGCAGGTGAGTGGGAGCGCCAGACCAAGGTGTGGTGCCCATCACTGTCATCGGGGCGAGTCTCTGGTGGTTACTGAAAATTCTTTGCTCCTTTGTACCACGGTCCCGCCTAGTGCTCGCACCTGCTGCTGGCGCTGGCCTGCTTGCAACTGCTGCCAACACCAGAGCCACTGCTTGCACCTGCTGCTGGCACCTGGAGTCGGCCTCGATCGCTCTTGAGGGCTTCTCCACCTTCCCCTGCTCCTGAGGGACAATTGGGGCAGCAGCCACCACTCGTCACCCAATCACTTTGCGCCATCAGTGGGTGCGAGCAGGGCTGGCGCCATCAGTGTGTGGGAGCAGTGGTGGAGGGAGCAGGGCTGCTGGCAGACAGGGGACTGGGGTTGCAGAGGGAGGGGGCGGGTGGGATGTGGAAGATGGGGCCGAGACCCACCCCTGTGCCCACCGCAGCCTCACAGCCCACAGTTCCTTTCAAGGTGCACAAATTCGTGCACTGAGCCCCTAGTTCAGAAATAAACACATTTTGGTTAATTGATTTTTGACAAGAGTAAAGGCAATTCATGGGAAAAAATAGGCTTTCCAACAAATGGTTCGGGGACAACTGGATATCCATATGCAAATTTGGACTACTTACTTATGTTACACACAAAAAATTAACGCAATATGGATCATAGACCTAAATGTAAGAGTTAGACTATAAAACTTTTAGAAGAAAAATAATTGTAAATCTTCATGATCTTGAGTTAGGCAAAACCTTCTTAGACATGACATCAAAAGGACAGGCAACAACAACAACAAATAGACCCATTAGACTTAATCAAAATTAAAAACTTTTGTGCTGCAAATGATACCACCCGAAAATGAAAAGCCAAAACACAGAATAGGAGAAAATATTTGCAATCATCTAATGAAGAACTTGTTTACAGAATATATAAACAGCTCCATAAAAAAAAAAGATTACCCAATTTTAAAATGGCCAAAGGATTTAAATGGACACTTTTCTCCAAAGGAAATATACAAAAGGACAATAAAAACATGAAAAGTCATTAGTCGTTAGAGAAATGCAAATCAAAACCACAATGAGGCCCTGGTAGGGTGGCTCAGTTGGTTGGAGTATCATCCAGGATACACCAAAGAGGTTATGGGTTTGACTCCTAATTGGGATTCATATGGGAGGCAACCGATTGATGTTTCTCTCTCTTGTTCACTCTCTCCCTTCCTCTCTCTAAAAAATCAATAAACACATCCTCATGTAAAGATTACAAAAATAAATAAAATACAGTTGTTTAAAAAAAACACAATGACATAACACTTTCATAAACACTAGGATGATTATAATGAAGAATATGGTGTTGACAAGGACATAAAGAAGTTGGAACCTTCATACATGGTTGGTACAAATGTAAAATGGTGCAGCCAATTTGGAAAAACAGTTTGGTACCAGGACTGATGCAGGGGCTGGATTCATGCTATCTCTAACTGCAGTATGTGACAGAGCCAGGACGAGTGGAAGGACAGATTCTTTTAATCCTTTGTTAGCCAGTGTTAAAAGAAAAAAATGCTGATGGATGGAAGGATGGATTGGATACTCATGGTACACTTGTTCTATGCAATATCCACGGTCCTAGATATGGGGGCCAAGAAGGAAGAAAAGTCAGTCTTCTATCATATTTCCTTAGTTGAGTTTCCTCCTTTATTACTTTCATTATTACATTGGTTACACTATTTAATTCTATCCATGAAAGAGGCTGTGCCGGGCAGGTAATCAAACTTTTGTTCCTACAAAAAGGCACTGTACAATGGGCATGATTAATGCAATCGGAAGGGAGAATTCATCACAGAAAAAAAAGCCAGAGATCGTGACGCAGCCCAGGCATTTCCAGTGACTTGGGACGCCCCAGCTGGATTCAGGATTTCCACTCCGACGGTTCCTGGGGCGCAAGCTGGAGACACTCGGCGAGGAGGCGGGGCGCCCTGCACGGAAGGAACCTCCAGTCCCAGAATCCCCCGGGGACTCCAAATCCCAGAAACCCGCTCAGGAAATCTCCCCGAATCCCTAGTCGGCTGACCACGGACGCCACCAAGTCGGGACACCGGGGTGCGATGCCGCAGCATCTCCCCGCTACCATTTTCCCGACAGGGAGAGGGCTTTTCATGGAACGACAGCGACCGAAGCCTGCGCGTGCTCTCCGACACGGCTGCCCCGAAAGACCCTCTCTCGGCATTGGGTGGGGTGGTTAGCGCCTCCCGTCCTCTCCCCCCCTGGTCCTCGCCCTCCGTCGGAATGGTTCAGCCGGGCAGCGAGGCTCCTGGAGTCGGCTCGGTGGCGGCGCCCTCCCTCCCCGGGAATGTGGGCCTTTGGAGCCCGCGAGGTGGGAGGGACCCGGGCGGGGAGGCGTGCTGGGTGCGCGCCGCGGTAGAGGCGGTGGCGGCCGCGGGCGGTGGGAGGAGCCGCGTGGTTCCGGCTGCCCGGGCGAGGCGACCCTTGGGTCCGCGCCGCGGGCGGGAGCGCAGGTAGAGGAGCGGCGCGCCGTGGCTCCGGGGAGGCTCAGGCAGCGGAGGCACCCCCGCGCGCCCCCAGCCCCCTCGGCCTCCGGCGTCGAGGCGGGGGAGCCAGGAGATGCCGACCCAGAGGGACAGCACTACCATGTCTCACCCGATCGCGGGCGGCGGCTTCGGGGACCATGCTCACCAGGTCCGGGTGAAAGCCTACTACCGCGGGTGAGTGCGCCGGCATGGAGGCGGGGAGGCGGGGGAGAGGCCAGCGCCACTTGGCCTGGAGGCGGGCAGGGTGCGGGGCTGCAGAGGTGGCGGGGGACTGGCCATGTGGTGGCGGGTTGGTCTGCGGGGGCGACGCTGGGGACTCGGGATGGGTGACCGAGTGGCCGGGGGAGGAGCATGGGGCGCTGGGTGGGAGCACCCTCAGAGTGTGGTGCGGGGCGCGTCTGGGAGTCGCGTGGCTGAGGGTCCCGAGTAGGGTCCCAGGGAGGAGCCTTGGAATCGAGTAGGTCCACCTGGTGGGTAGGATGAACTCGCCTAATGGGAAATTTACACGGGTTTAGAGGTCGTGAAGTCCGGACGTGTGGTTTGGAGTTGAGAGTGGACTCCGAGTGATGCCTCGGTGAACTAAGTTTGCTGTGGGCTGCAAAGACGGGGGCTCCAGTGTGCTGGCCCTTTTGGTTTCCAGCAGGCCTAGAGCCTCTGGTTCTCCAAGTCAGGTTTCCTTCCTTGCCTAGGAGAAGAGTTCACCAAGTGTATCTGGACTGGTCCGGCTGCCAGTAAATTAGACATAGCAGTTATTATTGAAGAGTAGAGTCGATGCGTTTTTAGGGATGTGCATTAGGTATTTATGTCGCCAAGATTAGATTGTGCATGCGTAAAGTTTTGTGAACGCTTCCCTGTCAGTGTTGTTGCTTCATGGATCTTCCCATAGGGTGAGACCATACAAGGTGAGAAGAGGAGGAGGCTGGGCACAGCTGGAAAATCTGTGATCTTTATTCATATTATTATCTAAGGTATAATTACTGTGGTTTACCAGGAATAATCCAGTCCTGAGATTGTTGTATTAAATCATAGTCCATCATAATCGGTGACCTGAAGTGTCCCCATTCCCTTGGATTCAGTTGTGGTTTTTAAATTTCTTTGATCTAATTATATGTAGGAGAAGTAGAAAGGTGAAATGTTAGTGTGAGAATAAAGGTTTGAAGCTAAGGGTTAACAGAAAACCCAACCATCTTGGCATGTCTTAACTGCTTGTCCAAGCAGAAATAAATTGCTTTAAAAAACTCAGGCACTGGGAGGTTGAAACTGCAATGCATACTTGTACATTCCTGAAAGGATCAGTGAAGATAGCAAACTTTCAAAATGCCTCTCCTTTTGATTTCAAAGAAAATATAAACCCCTAAATGTTACTGACTGATGTAAGGACATACTAGTTTATTTTGTTTGCTGCCATGAGGCCTCTGACCTGTGTGTATCAGCTTGACTGTATTCAGAAGTTGTTCACAGGTATTATTTTGGACAATATCAGTGTTTTTGTTTAAATTGATCAAGGAGGTCTTTGTTTGTTAATTTTCCCAAGGATATTTTTCCCATTGATTTTTAGAGAGAGTGAAAGGGTGGGGAGGGGGAGAGGGAAGAGAGAGAGACATTAATGTGAGAGAGACACATCGATTGGTTCTCTCTCGAATGCACCCCAACTGGGGCCAGGGATCGAGCCTATAACCCATGTACCTGCCCTTGACCAGGAATTGAACCCATGACCCTTCCATGCGGGACTGATGCTCTAACCACTGGGAACACCAGCCAGGGAGATCAAGGAGGTCTTGATTTTAAAACAATGCCAAGAATGGTGTGTAGGTTTTTTTTTGTTTTTTAAATGGTTTGTAGTTGTCACAGTTGACTTGAGGATGGTCAGCTATGAATTTTGCATTATGGGGGGAAAAAGCTTTGCTCCTTTTATCTTACCTTTAATTTAATAGATACTTCACTTTAGAGTGTGTTCCATTTTATAAAGTCTACAGTTCATGAGTTGTTAGGTACAGAGCATGAAATACAGTTACTGGTTCTTTTTTTAAGGTATCTGTTTATTGGTAGTTTAAAAGATTAAAAAATGAATATACATACATGGTAGGAGAGTGCAAATTGTATAGATGTAAAATAAAAAGTGTTCCCCATCTCACCTTCCCAACCTCCAGAGGTAACTACTGTTGACAGTTGACTTCTGGTTCTTCTGGAGGTTGCCTTTATTATTTTAAAGGTTATAGTTCTGTTTTGTGATTTATCAACTTTAGATAATATCTTTTGATACTCTGAAAGATGGGAAATTGGATGCATACTACCTTTTGCTTTTTCTCCTCCTGGTGCCTCTCAATTTTTAATGTTAGTCTATTGTTTTTAGTTTTCTGATTTACCTTTATGACTTAAAATATATAAATTCTTGACTTATTAAATATGGATAGTTTTCAATTATTCCAACTATGGAAGATGAAGAAACTGGTGCTTCTTTGTTCCCATTTTTATTAGTTTGACAAATGTACATAGGCCTAATGAGTAAATTAAAATCATTGTAAGCTTCTCCTTTGGAAAGAAATCAAAGTATGCTATACTTTAGGAATGTATTATCATATTTTCTTGGCTCATTACCTTTTAATGCTTGACTAAAATTTTTCCAAGACATTCAAGCTAACATTTTCTTTGTTTTATCTTATACCTATGAATTTTTGCTAAGGAATGAATCTCTTGCCCTTTAGTGCTTTTAATTTAATGAAAGCTTTCTAATAGTGCCTTCATTTCAAGCCTCATTTAAAGACAACATCAGCACTCTAAATTGTACCAATTTCTGCCCTCTGAAATTAGATCTGTTAAGATTATATGTTTTTAACAATAGTCTAAATGGATGGTTATGATATTACAGTCACATGCACATTACTGCAGATGAAACTAAAATGAGTCACCAATGAGGATAGTTAATAAACAGGTTGGCTAACTAGAACACCTACCTGATTTTAAAATAAAAATCCTTCTTGTCAAGAAATGTAAGGACAATCTGCATTGGAAAAAAAGTATTTTTGTTTCAGATTTTCTGAATAGCTATTATCCAAGAGCCTTCCCCTTATTTTCTTCTAACAATATTTCTATCCAGTAAATGTTGAATCTTGGAATAGCAGCATTTTGTAGTGATTCAATGGCCCTCTCCTTTCAAAGATGTGTATAGTGTTATCATAATGTTAAATTTATTTTTAGTACAAATGTGATGTCTCCTAGCTATCACAGACATTTAATTAGATTTTTTTTCTAGTTTTTAAGCACTGAGACTCTGATTTTATTGGAGCCCAGCTAAGAGTGCCTGTCTCACAGCCTGAACCCCTCTTTCCTTGCCACGGTAGCTTGTCAGTGAGTGGCCTTGGTTCCGAGGAAGAGAAACAGGTTTTGTTGGTTAGTGATGGATTGCCATTGGATGTGATTATCCTTATATGAAATTACTTGTTATTATGGGATCAAATTTAACTACTCATTTCTTTACATTATAAGTGTTTAGGAAATTTTGCAAAAAGTGCTTTTTAAACACGGCTGTTGAGCAGTTACAACAACCCAGAGGATTCTTTGTGTGCACATCTACGGATAAAAAGATTGTTAACTCCTTGCATATTTGGAATGTATAGCTGGTTCAGTGAAGAAATCGGCAGGATTTTTTTTTTTTACTGTTAACAAGTCTTGACAAGACTTGTTTTTTAAAGTGTTGCAACATAATTTTAGTGATATACTTTAGTAATGGTTCTAAGGAAATAAAAATAGTGTATGGAGTTGAGAATTGGGGGAATGTTAGTTTTTGGTCCTAGAGCTTTGGCATGGCACCTAACCATAGAGCAATTGATCCACAGCTTTACTGGGGAGAGAGAATGGGCATGGTGGCCTGGTGCCAAAAACCCAAACCAAAACAGCCCTCAGAAATTTGGATTAGATGATATGGAGATAAGTTACTTGTTAGCAGAGAGGACTAAGCTGAAGAGTTGAGGGAGAGGCTGGTAAGCCCAGGACCGACCACGTGCAAGATCTAATGAAGCAGAGGAGAAGAAACAGTTCTCTACAGAAGATTCTCCCTGCGGGGCCGATGTGGTTCAGTAGTTGAGCGTTCACCCATGAACAAGGTCATGGTTCGATTCCCAGTCAGGGCACATGCCCGGGTTTCAGGCGAAATCCCTAGTAGGAGTGTGCAGGAAGCAGCTGATCGAAGTTTCTTCTCATCATTGATGTTTCTATCTCTCTCTCCCTTTCCCTTCCTCTCTGAAATCAGTAAAAACATACATATTTAAAATTTTTCCCTAGAGGTCCAGGATAGCTTTCTAATACAACTCCCAAACCTTTTTTTAAGGCAACTTGAATGTTGTTTTTTTTTTTAATGATTGAAATGGACCTTGTTAAAACATGAATTTTTTTTTTTTAAATATATTTTATTGATTTTTTACAGAGAGGAAGGGAGAGAGATAGAGAGTCAGAAACATCGATGGGAGAGAAACATCGATCAGCCGCCTCCTGCACACCTCCTACTGGGGATGTGCCCGCAACCCAGGTACATGCCCTTGACCGGAATCGAACCTGGGGCCTTTCAGTCCACAGGCCGACGCTCTATCCACTGAGCCAAACCGGTTTCGGCTAAAACATGAATTTTAAACATTCCAGATTTGCTTATGATTTCACAAATTACTTAAGTGTGTTTGAATTCAATGTAATAAACTTGTTGGCCCTAGACGGTGTGGCTCAGTTGGTTAGAGCATTGTCCTGTGCACCAAAGGGTCACAGTTTTGGTTCCCAGTCAGGACACATACCCTGGTTGCAGGTTTGGTCCCCAGTTGGGGGTGTACAGGAGGCAAACAATCAATGTTTTTTTCTCTTTCTTCCTCTCCCTTTCTTCTTCTCCCTCTATCTTCCTCTCTCTAGAATCAATGAAAAGCATATCCTCGGTGAGGATTAAAATTTATCTATCTATCTATCTATCTATCTATCTATCTATCTATCTATCTATCTATGTATGTATATGTGTGTGTGTGTGTATATATATAAAATAGTTGAACACCTACTATAAGCCAGGCGTGTGGTGCTAGGGTGGACACAGAGGATAATTACAAGGCTCTGCCCTTGAGGAACTAAGAAACTTATAGGAGGAAAGACATAGAAGAGTTAATAAATGTGTGTGTAAGGTACTTTGCAGGGATGGATGT